CTAAGTCTACTGCTATTGCTAAGTCTACTGCTATTGCTATTTTGGGGTGTGTAATATCCTATGTTGGGCAGGCACAGCTTCCTTTGCTGAGGTTATAATTTTAATGGTTTTACCAGCTTAAAAAAAACAACTGGTTAATTTGGAAGCGTAAAACAGGAAAAGCATGTTACGGGAACACAAAGAAGTATTACGAAAACCATGGCCCCACACATGCAAATTTCTTTCTAATGTCCTTTTTTTTGGTGGAGAAATAGATTAGAACAGAGTTTGTCAACCTTGGCAGCTTTAAGATGAATGGATTTCTATTTACAGAATTCATCAACCAGCATGTTTTAAGGTGGGAGGACTTCAACTCCCAGAATTCCCCAGCCAGCATGATTTAAGATAGGTGTACTTCAACTCCCAGAATTCCCCAGTCAGCTTGCTTTGAGGGGTGGACTTCAACTCCCAGAATTCCCCAGTCAGCTTGCTTTATGATAGGCGTACTTCAACTCCCAGAATTCCCCAGCCAGCATGCTTTAAGATAGGTGTACTTCAACTCCCAGAATTCCCGTCAGCTTGCTTTGAGAGGGGTGCACTTCAACTCCCAGAATTCCCCAGTCAGCTTGCTTTACGATAGGCGTACTTCAACTCCCAGAATTCCCCAGTCAGCTTGCTTTGAGAGGGGTGGACTTCAACTCCCAGAATCCCCTAGCCAGGATGATTAAGGTGGGAGGACTTCAACTCCCAGAATTCCTCAGGCACCATGTTTACTGGATAATCCTGGGAGTTGAAGTCAACACATATTAAAGTCATGGAGGCTGAGAAGCATCGCATTATAAAGTAAAAAAAAAATTGTTTTTCTCAATTGGAAGAGGACTCCAAAAGTTTTATATTTAGACCCAGAGAAGACCCCGAAATTCCAACTGATGACTAAGAGAAAATTAAAATAGAGACATTTTGATGGGGTGACGAAGGTGTTGCACTGAGTTTTAGGCGTGAAAAATCAGTGTAGTGACTTTGGGCCCATCTTTCTCTCTCTCAGCCCAATTCATCTTGCAGTTGTAGTTGTTGTTGTTGTTGTTGGGACTGTACAAGGAAGGATCCTTATGTATGTCCTGATCCAGGCTTCCCCCAAAAGCCCGAGGCAGAGTCCTGGTCCCGACAAAAACCCCTTTGTTAAACAAATGTGAATTCCTCTCCTTCACATTCAGCAAAGGCCTGGCAAACAGTCTTTCAAAGGCGTATTTATGATCACACACCTTATCTAGCTTGGAAAGCTGCCATGTGAATATTTTCCTAAATGAGGGGCTGTGCAAGGAAAGACTCTGGGCACAGAGTCTCTGAGATTCAGGGACAGATCTTCACACTCCTGAAACGAACGAACAAACAAACGAATTGTTTCCTGCAAAAGCCCCCTCCCCTTTCGCCCCTCTTTTATTTCCTCTGGGAGGGGTCATTCATCGTCCCCCTGGAGCCTTCCTCCCAAGTCGGCCCCTGTTCTCTAACTGTTCCCTTCGTCTGGCCGCTCTGCACATGCGCACACTGGGAACAGGCTCCACCTGTTCGCCAGCCTCACTGATGTCTGACTCTGAAGGCAGCTGATAACTGGCATATGGCTCTGGCCCCTTCTCTGCCTCCGACACAGAGCCCTTCTCAGA